TCTTTTACAAACGAGACCAGAAAACGGTGTTTTCCAGAGGCACGATAGTGCTTGGGACTTTCCAAGCCCATCAGACCTGAGTCCCATCCCGACATGGCCACTTGCTGGCTATGGGAGCAAGTGGCTTAACCTTTCTGAGCCTCAGTTTCCTCACCTGTAAGATGGGGCTAACACTGTTAAAGTTTCGCATTTAATGTATTTCTTTTACAAACGAGACCAGAAAACGGTGTTTTCCAGAGGCACGATAGTGCTTGGGACTTTCCAAGCCCATCAGACCTGAGTCCCATCCCGACACGGCCACTTGCTGGCTGTGGGAGCAAGTGACTTAACCTTTCTGAGCCTCAGTTTCCTCATCTGTAAGATGGGAATGACACTGATACCCACCTCCTAGATTGGTCTCAAGGGGATACGTATAACCGCTCAATGAATGGCCGCTGTTATTAGCAATATAAGAAATTACCAGGTGCTGTTTCCTCTGCATCCTGTGGCCGCTCAGCCCAGAGAAGGGAAAGCAGAGCTCAGGCATGGGAGGTCCGGGACCACCGGTTCTGCTCACCAGAGCCAGGGCTCGCTGGCAAGGAGGATGGGTCGGCCGTGGGACAGGTGGACCAGGGAGGCAGCAGGAAGCGAAGGTGATGAAGGTGACTGAGAGACACTTCCTCCCGACCCCCTGGGACATCTGGGGCCCAGTAGCGTGTGGGGGGTGGAGGGACCCACACAGATGTGGCCCCAGAGCCTCCCCCTCCTCCTCTCCTGGCTGGCATCCAAGGCTGATCTGGGCAGGAGGCGGCAGGGTAGTGCATTCGTGGGTGGCTGAATTGGGGCCAGGGGAGCGAACAGCCAGATTGAGTGGGAAGGTGACAATTTATTCTTTAAAAAAGAGAGAGAGAAGAAGAAGAAACGAGCCCTGAACCCCACCGGTGTGTTCTTTCCTTAACGAACTCCATGTCCCCAGAGGCTCCCATTCCAGCCCGGAGACCTGGGGAGGGGGCGGGGCCTCGGTGCCGCTCCTGGAAGGGAAGGACCTGGTAGTTTGGCAGCCTGGTTTCCAGAGCAACGAGCTCCCTGTGCATTCCCTTCCCCCACCCCTTCCTCCCCACCCACCCTGGGCTCTTCTCCGGCCTCCCCCACTCTGAAAAGCGCATTTCTCGGAAGACTCCATTCGGTCTCATAGCTTTGGGCCTCGGCCCGTACCGTTTCGCTACCAGGAACACTCTTCCTTTCTCTGTGACTCTTATTTATCCTTCAGGTCCCAGTTGAGATACCACCTCCTCCAGGAAGCCTCCTTGATCTCCAGATAGGGGTGATGTGCCACTTTTAGGCGCTCCTGTAACCACGCCCTGTATCTCCCCCATCTGAGAAGGGGGACTCTGGTGCCCTGTCGTAATCATCCGTGGGCAGTCACCAGTTCAACTAGGGTAGAGAAAAGGGGCAAACAGCCAGCTTCCGAAATAATGTGGGGGCTACTCCCTCAAGATTTTGCCTGCAGGACTTGTTGAGTGAATAAGGGAACGACAGAGGGTCCAGACCGTCTAGATGGAGACCAAACGAAATGGACCTAAATGCAGCACGAGGCTCTAATTTCGGCCTGGAGACAAACAGCCTGGCTTCGTAACTTGGCTGGACTGCTTAGGAGCTGTGTGATCCTGGGCAAGTTACTCAACCTCTCTGTGCTGTGGTTTCTCTGTCTGTAAACTGGGGGTGACCGACACTGTAGACGGGGCTGAAGGCTGAATGAATTGGTTAAGTACGAAGCACTTGACACAGTGCCCAGCCCAGATGAAAAAGCTCGGTAGGGCTGGCCCTGGTCACTCTGTCGCCGTTACTGTCAAACTATAAACCTACAGAAATCCCTTCACGAGAGAGACAGAGGTTAGCAAAGCCTCCTTTGGGGTTCGGGTTGAGGAAAGACCTCTGGGAGGCTTCTAGTCCCAGTTTCCGAAACCCCAGAGGAAAAGGCGGGTCAGGGGTGGGGTGGAGACCTGGTAGAGTGGAGCTCATTAGCGGTTCCTTTCTGCCCCCAGGTCCTCCAGATTAAAGGCCTCTGCCTGCCCAGGCGGAAAGGGGAGTAATCGAGCAGTGACCTGTCACAGCCCCATTTTCCAGTATGTTTCACCCCCAGGCATCCGTAGCCACCTTTTGCTCAGTGGAGAAAATCAAAGGAACCAAGAGTGGGGAGTGGGGGATGTGTCAGTAGCTCTGTGAGGCCGCACCTCAGGGACGCTCTTTTCCACACAAGGGGCTGTTAGAGGCGCCGTCAGGCTTGAGGACCCCAGAGAAGCCTTGGAGCCTCCTCTAGGAGCAAATGCCCACCCCTCCTCCTACCCCGCCCACCCCCCGTTTAATTAATTATTCTGTCTCCCTTGCCAAACCCCACTCTGCGAGCGAGTGAATGAATGAATGAGTGACTGAGTGATTCGACAGGCTCCATCCTTTGGTCTGTCCCACGAACACTCCCCAGACGTTTCAATGCAGGCGAATCACGAGGATTCTTGTTAAAACGCAGATTCTGACTCTGAGGTCTGGGGCCCGGAGTGCTAAGGTTCTGCATTGCTAGCGAGCTCCTTGGCGATGCCGATGCTGTCCCTCCCAGCAATCCCTGTGCTAAGTAATCTGGGAAACCAGGGTCAGTCAGCCTGCCTTCAGTGCTCAGGAAAGTCCACGACCGCCGTCCTAGAGTCAGGGCACACAGGTGGGGAACGCCCCCTCTCTCCTGTCCCCGAAAGAGAACTGTTGCCCCAAAGAAGCAGTACGTGGATCCCTAGCACGCATTTAGTCATTCGAAGCTAGTTATTGGGCACCGAGTATGTGCCAGGCCCTGGCGACAGAAATGATCGCAATGGACATTGACCAGGGGGAGACCAGCACTGAACACCCAGCATCACAAGGCGTCCTTCAGCCCTCTCGGCTGATGCCACGGGAAGCCAGACACTGAGGGAGGCATCGAGGCAGGGTCCCCCTAGCCCAACACTCGGCTGAGAAAGGAGGACATGAGGTTCGAGGGGCAGGGACGGCAGGGACAGGCGAGGACACTGAGCCCACTGACCTCCCTTTGCCTTAGAGAGGAGGGTTAAGAGGACACATTCTTCACCAGTTTGGATAATGGGGCACATCGGAAAAGAGCTGGCCAGGACCAACCAGGAGGTGCGGGACACACCAGGACTGACCATTGCAGCTGTCTGGTGTTGTGGAGACGCTGGTTCTGATCAACTTGGAAAAGCCCAATGGTTCTGACCGGTGACAGGAAGCATGGCTTGGAACCTGCCTGCTTAGCATATAGCGCTATTGATTAAAGCAACAGTCCCCTTTTTTTTTCTCGGAAAAATGCACAGAGGTGCACGTGTGTGCATATACACACATACACACTTTTGATTTTGCATTTAATTTCAGAGATTTTACTGGACCCCTGAAGCTCCTGAACTCTAGTTATGAAACCCCGAGGTAATAGTTAATAATCATACTATTAAAGCAATCCAAGTATGCCAAGTAGTCATCGAGTTTCTTTGCCCCAATTAGTTGGCCTAGCAACTAAGTGAAGTGGATGCTAAAAGGCGATTGACCATTCTCAGCCCTGTAGATTTCCCGCGATGAAGCCTCACGCGGACTTTAAGATCAAAGATTTTGGTGTCAGGAGACTTGGGTTCAAATCTCTACTCTGCCACTTACTAGCTGGATAACCTGGGGCAAGGCACTTCACCTGTCTAATGTGAATGTGACTCATCATAAATACTCAATAAATGTTGTCCGCTACTCTTTTATCCATGAGCTCAGCCGGCTATTATAAGTGGCTTGAAAGGCAAAGATTCTATACCCGTGGGTACCACAAAAGGGACCCTCAGTATTGGTCAACTTGACAGCTGAGAAGGGACAAGATGTGCCAGCGTCACACAGCGTGTCAGGTGCAGAGCTGGTGGCTGGGAGGACCCAGGCTTCTCAATCTTAGTCTAACAGGTGTCACCACTGGCCTGTGCCTGCCCTCCTGGATTAGCCATCCAAGCTAGTTCAAGGATGGTTTTGAGCACACCTTCCCCCAGCTCAGCCATCATCTTGAATCGTGGTTCCAAGAAAGAAGCGTCTCTTTGGCCCTTCAGAGAGGCCGAAGCTTGGGAGAACTTTCCTTTCTCAAAAGTGGGCTTTTTGTTTGTGCCTTTTCAGAATTAAGAACAAACCCTGAATCTCAGTAGTTTTATGGGCTAAAGATATAAATAAGTCTTGGCCGTATTTTGTCAATAAACACGTGGTAAAATGTCCGCCCTCGCCAGAGAGCCCAGACTTGCAGACGGAAACAAAATACCATATTTTTGCTTATAAAATTCGCAGATTGCCATTAAAGTGTTAACCTGCAGAGTTCGCCAGGGCACCGTAAGGGGGCGCTGTCGGAAAATACCGTGGGAGTACAAACTGCTTTCAGGAGGCAATTTAGCAAATTGTTTTAAACCTTCAAAATCTCTCCTCAGAAAATCATGAGAGATACCGAAAAGGCTTGATGCACAAAGCTGTTCATTTCAGTATTATGCGTAATTGTTTTTTTTTTTTAGAAAAGAGAAATAATCTAATTATCCATAAATAGGGAAATGATTTAATAAACTCTAGAGGGTCCACTCAGTGGAGTATTCAAGAGCTATTTAAAACACCGTGTACTGAAACTTCACAGTGACATGGGGCAAATGTCTAATTTTCAGAAATCAGAATACAGCCGGGTATTTATAGTACAATATAATTGCAATCGCATTTTTTTAAAAAATCACTATATTCAAGCATGACATGCAGAAAAACACATCAAAGTCGTGACATTTTCTAAGTGTTCTCTAATGAGCATATAGTGCTTTCATTATTTTGTAAATTTTAGGTACACGTCTGGTTTTTTTGGATCTCAAGGGTGGAATTGCATGAATCATAAAGGAACCTGTTTCGCTTTCATTCTTGGAAATATGTCATAAGCTGTAGGAACAACATTTGCACTGCCAGCCTTCCGGTCTGTTTTCTCTCTGTCCCCAGCCATGCCAGAGCTGCCCCCGGCCTACCTGTGCCCGCTGTTCTAGGCGGAGTTCAAAGGTTACTGCTATCGATTTTTCCCTCTCAACAAGACCCGGGCCAGGGCCGGTTTCCACGGTTCGGAGTTCTCCATCGGCAGGAAGTCTGCCAAACTGGCCTCCATCCCCAGGTGAGTAGGGCCCTTGGTTCGCCAGAGCCCAGCCAAGCGCCCGCTTTGGGAAGACAGAGCGGAGACTGGCATTCGCCACTGGCCTTTCTCTTGGGTGATTGAAGCTAATTTTTTATCCAGCCCAGTTTCTCCTCAAAACTGCCCTTGGCAGTGGAAAGCAAAGCGCTTAGCAAGGGTAGCAAAAGAACATGCTGGAAGATTCATCTTGTTGATCTTGTGCTGTGCCCTGCTCTGTATCCTAGGGGGTTGACCCTGTGTTACAACTCAACATGGTCTACATACGAAGAATAGAATATGAGGAATAATAGCCGACGTTTATTTGCTAAGTGTTTTTATCACCGTCATATTAAAGCTCCCTCACACCACGTTAGGAAGGTATCTTCATTTTACAGATCCAAAATCTGAGGCTCCGAGAAGGTAAGTCACTTGCTCAAAGTTACCCAGCTCTGCAGAGGTGGAGCCGGGCTTTGAACCTGGGAAGTCACACATTCTGTAGCCCACCCACCACGGCCTCCTTCAACGTCCTCTGTGTTTGCTAAGCCCCAGCCACACTGGCCACCCCGGAGTTCTCCAGCCCTTTGCCTCCGGCACCCCTTCGCCCCCTCTGCTGGGAAGTCCCATCCTGATTTTGTGCTCCAGGTAGGTACCTCCTCAACCTGCAAGTTTCAGTTCTGACAGCGTCTCATCACTAGAGTCCGCCCTTCGTGACACCCCAACTGCATTCATCACCCACCTCTCCTAGAGCTTCCTTCATCTCAGCCTAATGACCCGTTTTCACATCTCTTTCCTTGCTGATTTGTGGGTTCCTTGAGGCCAGGTGTGATATGCTCCATTGCTACCCAAACTACAAAGTCACAGTCTTGCCTCTGTTTTTCAAGAATCTCAGAGACTTGGGGTTAGAAAACTAGTTGGTTCTTTATGCATTAGAGTCACTGAGTTTTGTTAAAAACAAAAAGTCCTCTGTCTTCGTTTCCGGAGGAGTCTTGAATCTTCCCGTCTCTTCATCCGACGGATGTGTTGAGCACCCACTATGTTCTCGGCAGTGCTGAAGGATATCGTGAGAACGCAGGGTCCGGCCAGGAAGAGAGGAACCGCTACAAATATTTAAGACAGGGAGGATTTACTAAGCAGTGATAGTGAGACAATCTCGAGATTCCCAGCATGGAAAGAGTCAGTTCCAGCCCTAACTGGAGGGCAGGCCAGCCCCGTGGAAGCCGGAGGCACTGAGGCACGCCGGCCCCGGCCAATGGCTCCCTCGGCAGAGAGGGACAGAAATACCCTGGCTTCTCTCTCCCTCCCCTTCAGCACCGGCACCCCTGTCACTTGGACAGCCGCTAACATGACGGGGAAAGGCAGTCTTCAGGGATCAAATCCCCTGGGATACAGAGCACACAGCCCGGGACTGGCACTTACAGATAGAAGTGGGTGCAAATGAAGATTTCCCTTCTGCCAGCCCTGGGGAAGGACACCTCAGGCTGCCTCGCGGTGCCTGGGACCCAGGCCTGGTTAACCGGGCGTCAGAAGCATCGTGGGCAAAGGCAGGGGTCTTCCAGCAAGCCCTGACCCACCTCTCGTTCCCTTCTGCCCCGTCCCTCTCTTATGCTAGCGAGCATTCTCCCCCATTCCTCTCTTTTCCCACTTGGGCATATCATACTTTCCCGCAAACACGAAGAAAGGTTGAATGTGAACAAGAAATGTGTAATCAGCGAGGTTCAGTTCCCACGAAGCCGGACACTACCATAAAATTCCGAGTCACGTCTTTTCTTCGAGACCCAGTTCGGTTCAATGTTTCTGACGTTGTCTTCCTGCTTTTGAATTTTGTCCTTTTCTGCAGAATTAAACACACGATCAGCTTATGTCCATGGAACACGCGATGGAAGCGCACGGTTCTCCCGCTTTCAGTTTATCTCATAAATCTCATCCTCGTTTCAGGCGGGAGAGGGATCGGATGAAGTTCATCTGATCTCTGCTCCTTCGTACTTGCAGTTAACACCTTGGACGTTTATAGTTTCTAGTTATTATGTCGACCAGATGTGGGGGTGGTGCAGTGAAATGTTGACATCGCTTCCCGAGCAGGCGCTGTCGGACAGAGATGGCGTTGGTGCCAAAGTGACAGGGTGGCCGCCCCACAGTGTCTGCCCAGATGCCCGTTCAGCAGTTGATGTAGGAGACCTCGAATTGTGCATGAGGGGGGGACTTGGGGATGCCAGTGCTTACCCAGCTGGGTAAAAGGTCAAAGACTTACTGGACTGAAGAACACTTTGTCCCCCCAAAATCATACCACTCTTTTTTGGGTCTCTTCCTGATATCAATCAAACCCAACTTGTGGGCTAGTGTTTTTGAGGTGGAGTTCAGTCTTTAGGATGAGGAGCATTCCAGAGTCCTGCTCTGAGCTGGCGTAGACCAAATCCAGAGGTGTCCATGGGTTGACGGCCACATACGGGTGACCTAATTTTTACAAAAATAATAAGAAGAAAACAGCAAGATTGCGTCATATCCGCTCTCTGCTTTGGTCCAGGGAGCATAACGAGGGTTGCTTTCAGCTTTCGGCTCTACCCCACGAGCAGAGGTGACGCATGACATGCCGCTGTGTCTCACATCCGCAGCCAGGAGGAGAACATCTTTGCATTTGACCTCGTGAACAACTGTGTTCCTGGGATCCCAGCCGACATCTGGACGGGACTTCAGGACCGCAAACAGGTGAGGAAGCAGTGGCCATCAGACCCTCTCGGACGCTCCAGCCGAGACGCCATACACACGCGCCCGGCATACAATGAGAAATCGGACACCAAGATGCCCCAGTTCGAATACGATGAGCATTGTAGCAGACGATATGATGGGGGCCTCTGCCTGGCTTGGGTTCTCCCCAAAGCAGCCCCCAAAACATGCTCAGATGTGCAAGAGATTTTCGAGGGGGAAACGTCTGTGAAGGAAGAAAGATCAGGGGGCGTAGGGAAGCTGGAGAAGTCTTCAGCCAGCGGTGTGGGTCTGAGACCCGTGAAAGGAGCCGGGGACGAGGGACTGGGCCGGAGGAGCCTCCGGTCACAGCCCAGTTGTGAGAAAGTCTCGCTAGGCCAGCGGCGAGTCCCAGGCAACGGCTGCCCATTACGGGAATGCTGAGTCGACGGCAAGCGACCGGGCACAACCTGGAGGAAGCATGGTCTCCCTGTGAATGCCTCAGTGGGGCCAGGAGGGCGGGGGCACTGAGGCTGTCCGCCATGCTCCTCCGGAAGGAGCTCTGAGCAACGCACTGCTGCCACGGCCCTGGGTAAGAGACATTTAAGTCTCATGGACAAATAGGAATCAGCCAGAGGAAGAGCATCCCAGGTACAGGGAACAGCATGGGCCAGGCTCCTGAGGCAGGGGAGATCGTGGCACATTCAAGGACACTAAAGGACGGTGTGTCTGGGGTGCAGAACGGGGTAGGGGTGGGTTGAAAAATGGTGGAGAATAAGGCTGAAGAAGATGGCTGAGGCCAGATCTCATACCTGGCGATGTCGCAGCAGACTCCGCCCAGAGGTTTTGTCCCCAAACTTGCCCTGGGCAAGCCGCATGCTGTCCCTATTTTGGCCGTGGGCTCCAGCCCTGCCTCAGGGCACTGCAGGGAACAGGGTTCCAGCTCCTGCCCTGCCATTTCCTGGCTGGTAGGTGACTTTGGGCAATTTTTTTTTTTTTTTTTTTACCTCTCCGATCTTTAGTTTCCTTAGCTGTAAAGTCAGGATGATAATCATAGTGTAAAAAGTAAATGAGCTTAACATCTGTAAAGGGCTTAGCCCGACACGCTATAGGAGCTCATTAAGAGTGGTAGAAATGACTAGCAAAGTCACAGAAGTAATAGTAGCAGCCGGACTCCATAGAGATATATATTTTTAATCAGTAGAATCTATCTGGCAAGGACACATATAGAAGTTGTAATTTTAAAAAAACAAAAACAAAAAACAAAATTTCCATGGATAATAGTAACTTTAAAATTAGATTATGATTAGTTTAAGGGATTTGTATTATGAGACCTAAGAATAATAAATAACAAACAATACAGCAAAAGGCGTTTTTTGTATTTTCTTTTCAGGGCTAGGCACCATGTGACAGGTACTAGCTGAGTCCTTCGCATGCTTTAATTCGTTGAATTCTCACGGTAACTCTCTCAGGGAGAAATCAGCCCCATTTCGTGGGTGTGGAAACTGAGGCTCAGAGGGGTTAAGTAGCTCGTCTAGACTGCAGCGCCAGGAAGTGGGTGGAGCTGGACTCTCAAGCCCTAGAATCTGTCTCAGAAGCAGCCGGCTAGTCCCACGATAAGACGTGGCCTCCATTAAGCGTTGTCGGTGCTTTGTGGCAGACTTTTCTAAAAACGTGACTAAATGGAGAGATGACTTTTGTTCCAGGACATTGCAAAGATGTCTTTCTGTCCACAGTTAATTTACACATTGATTCATTTACGGTCAAATTCTCAAAAGGACTTTTCTTGCAATCGGACAGAGCAGTCCCGCATCGGGCAGGAAAAAACACACCCTATTGGGGCAGAAACGAAAGAGGTGAAGGGTGACTCCCGTCTGCTGGTCAATTTTTTTTCAAAAGTGGAGTAGTGAGGGTCATGGGAACGAGAGTCAGGTAGACCCGGGCTTGACTCCCAGCTCGAATGCTGTGTTAGCTGCGTGAGTTTGGGCAGACCAGTCTGAGCCTTAGCTTTGCCATCTGTAACATGGGGGCGATGATGCCCGCTTTGCAGGATGATGAGGAGAAAAGCACCTGGCATATGGCACGTAACGAGCCTTCGACAAATGGCAGCTAGGAACGGTGGTAGGAATTGCAGCATGTCCGATTCAAAGGCGAGGACCTTCGCGTCGTTAGCTATGGGGGTGAGAATGTCATGTGCGAATCCGAGCTGGCTCAGGTGCCTGATCACCTTCTCCCTGGCTCGCTCCTCGCCTCCGGACCACCCCTTAGGAAGTCCAGTTTGAATGGACCGACGGCTCGTCCTATGACTACAGCTTCTGGGATAGAAGCCAGCCCGATGACGGCGTCCACGCAGACACAGAAGAGGAGGACTGTGTGCAGATATGGCACCGGCCCGCCCGCGGTGGGTACCCCTGAGAGCTCCTGCAGGGAGGGGCTGGGGAGCCTGGCGAACAAGGGCGGTCATTGACACGCGCGGGCTTTGATTCGGGTGAAAACACATCAGAGGTAGAAGCATGAAAGAAAAAGACGCGCATTGAGGCCAGTCAAAGGTTGGTGCTTCTGCACCAGCTCCCCGGTGCTCCAAAGTGCGAGCTGTGCCCGGGCTGGGAACGAAGGTGCGCCAGGGAGAGCACCCAGGGCTCAGCAGCAAGAAGCAGTGAGCAGGGCGCACGCTGGGCTCACGTCCTGGCTCCCCAGCTCTGTGGCCTCGCAAGGAGTCATTCCCTCTCTCTGAGATTTCGTTTCCTCTTCTGTAAATGGGTTTAAGAATTGTCCCTGCCCTGGGGGCTGCTCTGAGGATTCGGGGAGGTACGGTGACGGCGACACAGACAGCGGGGAGAGCGTGGACTCGGGTCGAACGTCCTGGGGCACGTGCCCCTCCTGAACCCCAGTTCCACCCCTTGTTAATCGAGTAGCCCCAGGCAAATGCCTTGGCCCCTCGGCGCCTCAGATTCTTCATCTGCAACATGGGACGGATGACACTTGCCTCGCGGGGTCGATGCGAAGGAGAAAGGAGACGGTGCCCGTGGAGAGGCCGCGGGGATCGGCATGCCGCGTGGGCAATCACCGCCATCATCGTCACATCATCGTCCCCCACGTCAGTCTCGAGAAGCAGAAATGATTAGTGCTTCCATTTCGTGGGTGAGGAAACCAAGCCTCAGAGGAGTTAAGCGACTCGGTCACGGTCACACAGCAAGCAGGTGGAGGAACCGGGTTTCGGACCTAGCTCTGCAGAACCCCAGGTCCCAGTGCTCGCCCGCCAGGCCCACTTTGCTCCTTTTTCTTTCCTGATCAGGGGCGGGGGTCGGGGGTATGGAACAGAGACGTGCTGTCCTGGGAGCCAGAACTGGCCAAGCCTCTGGCTGAGGTTTGTCCTGCCCCTCCATGGTGGCGGGTCGAGACCGTCCTTGTGGCAGAGTAAGGCTGCACAGCAGCCTCATCAAGCATCGGGGAGAAAAGGGTGCCAGCATAGACGTGAGGCGCACTGGACAGGGCTTTTACTCCAGTGGGGGATGGGGGCACTTTTAGTGCAGTGGGTGGACCTTCACCCAGGTTCTCTGCTGCTTCTCGCCACAGCCCTGAGGTCATGGAATGATAACACCTACAGCCGAACGTCCCCCTTTGTCTGCAAGATCGCGTCTGTGACCATCCAGTGACCCACCCTTGCCCTGTCGGAGGGAGTGTGGTCTCGTGGCTGTGCCCAGTGTAGACTTGACATTCAATAAATGTAAAACACGCAGAGGAGATAAACCTCCCAGATGAGAGATTTTAAAGAAGCACGTCTTGGTACGGACTGATTACTCAGTCACGAGCGACAGGAAACCCCCCTCAAACTGGCTTAATGAATAAAAACGCGGGTCCGGGGGTCGTTGTAGATTCAGAGCTGCCTCAACTTGGCCTGGCCTGGGGCAAACGCCGTTCCTGAAGTGCCCGCTCTGGCGTCCGCTGGTTGGCCAGAGAGGGAAAGGAGTCAGAATCCTCAGCCACGTGGCCCCAAGAGGAGGGTGCGTGGCTCCCCGCAGGAAATCGAAGATATCGCCAAGCTCACACGTTGCCATTGGGGGTGGGAAATGGCAAAGCCTTTCTGGTAAACTGTTTGGCGCTGCCTCAAGAACTTTAAGTAGAGAATTACCAGATGCCCCAGCAAGTCCGATTCTGGGTTTACGCCCGAGAGCGTTGAAAACAGGTGGGCCGCAGAGGAGAAGGGTCAGAGCAGCATTGTGCATAATGGCCCGAAAAGCTGAACGTCTTTGGGGACACCCCCCCTGCCGTGACTACATCCCGTTGTTGTCGGGGCCCTGACTGGACATAAGACGCTGCCTCTGCTGGGAGCTTATTTCCTTTGAAGTTCCGTCACTCAGAGTCTGGGTGTGCTCTACCTTCCTGTCACAGGAGATGAGGGCTTCTCCGTCTGCGACCACAGAGGCTCCTTGGCTTTCGCTCTGGGAGCAAGTGCCTGCCTGTCACTTGTCCTCGGCGGTTTCCCGTGTTTGTGTAGAGCATAAAGGCTTGCAGCAACAGCCATCCCGTCTAGGTCTGCTTAGAGGTGCTGGTCGGTACACCAGCCACCTGACACATCGCTCCTGCTAGCGCATTCCCACGCCCAGGACACCCTCCCAGTCCACTCCGTGAAAGTTTGGACCACCGGACACCGCCCAGTGCCAGGGGCTGTCTGTGTTCTGAACACCACCACTGATGGCCCGCCTGGAGAGAGATGGTCCAGCCCCTGAGCCCCATCTTGTCACCTGCTTCCTCAGACTGTCTGTCCCCAGTATCCAGCTCTCTGCCACTGCGGCCGGCCCTGAAGGAGCTGGCAGCTGAGGGCCCCGCCGCCCCTTCCTCGAAGGGGGATCTGGGTGGCACGTCTCCATGCTATCACATCTGCAATCAAAAATACGTGAGTTTAAATCCCGCCACTGCCGCTTACTGCGTGACCTCATGGAAGTGGCTTAACCTCTGAGTTTGCGTTTTCTCTTCATGAAATGGAGAGAAACCACAGTTCAGTGGTTTGCCCATTTCGAAGGAGACACAGCCCCTTCTAGCTCCGACTGCGATTTATCAGGCAGCTTTGGGAAATAAAAAGTTCTACATAGGCGACTTCTCCAGAAAACGAAAGCTGATTCATCAAGCATCACAACTGTCTCTATTTTCTTCCATTTCGGATGGAAATCTTTCTGAACCGTGTTATGCATTTCTCTACTTTCTTAAACAGAAGATACTTAAGAAGATTCGTCTTTTCTGGATGACTCAGGGTCATGTGGGCTGCGTCTCCTTCAGGTATTTTTGTCTCCTGTCATCATGTCTGGGTGTCACTGTGCCAGGCTCTGACAGCCCACAAAATCCCCCGTCTTTTCTAGGTTGTTGCTGCCGAGATGCTGTGGGCAAGGAAACCAGGAAACTAAGCCTGGGAACAATCTGAGAAGGAGAGAATTAGAGAAGGAGAATGAGATGATGATCGATCAGTGGTAAATGATGGATGGATGGGTGGGTAGACGGATGGAGGGACGCGTGGATTCATAGATGCATAGATACATGGATGGATGGATACAGGGATGGATGGAGATGATAGATATTTGTAGAGAGATCGAAATGATCGATTGCTAGGTAGGTAGATATGGATTCATAGATGCATAGATACATGGATGGATGGAGATGATAGATATTTATAGAGAGATCGAAATGATCAATTGATAGGTAGATAGATAGATGATAGGTGGATGATAGATGAGAAGGCAAAGAGGAATCGACTCTAACCCTCTCGCCCCTGTGAGGAGTCCCCGGAGGGGGTGTGTTTCTCCTGTTCTCAGTTTACAAGCAGAGTGTGCTCTGGAGAGCTGCAGAGGAGACTGTGTCAGCCGTCAGAATAAACACACGGGCACAGTTCAGTGGTTTGCCCATTTCGAAGGATATTAATTTCTTAAAGAAAGAGAGAAGTCAGACCTCTTATTCTGAAGCAAGTTTCAGAGCCACAGCCCAGCATCTGTCTTCTTAAGGAGGCTCCATCCAGCTGGGGCGCTGTCTTGAGGAAGCCCAATCTCCCCTCTGCCCATCCTCACAAACATGCCATGTGAACAGAAGGTTCCAGGGCTTTCTTTTCCAACCCAAGTGTATCTGCTCAGCCCTTCTACTGAGTGTCAGAGACCTCAGCCGTGGAAGCTCATCTGTTTCTTTCAATGGTCCAGCAGGGGCTCTGCCAACAGTGTGTTCCGAAAGGGAACATCTTCCGTCCTCTGTGGGGACAGGGGCATAAACATGCTGACAGCCATTGCCCTAAAGTAACTGCCAGTTCAATAAACTATGGCGATCTGCTCAGTGGAACTCTGTCCAGCCTTTACGTACAGATTCAAAACACGTCTGAGGCCGTATTAGGGAGTGATAAAAGCAAGTTACACAAAAATGCATAAAGTATTATATCACTTACATATCCAAAAACTCCCCCACGGAATTATATTTTTTATTTCTATAGACACATATCTATAAATGCGGGAGAAAACGTCTTGAAAGATACACACAAAAATGATCAAATCAAGCACCTCAAAGATGCGAGTAACGGTCTCAAGGGAGAATTTTAGTTTATTCTGTAATTTTTATTTTTTTACAATAATCACGTTCCTATTTCATTGTGGAGTTCAAAGTATACAGCTGTTTTTAAAATGTTATAAATTTCAGCCCATTCTCTCGTAACCCGCAGGGCTAGGCTTGATTTGGCCAAGGACCCAGGACCAGCTACGGTTACTGGGACAAACACTGGTATGTCGAATATATTTATTGCCAAAATGTTTCCAAGAGGGTCATACCGATTCCCACCCTCATCTATACTTTCCCCCATGCCCTCCGGAGTCGTCACTCTTTGCCTTACAATAGAAAGTGTCTCATAGCGACATGGGCTTGTCAAAGCTGAGTCTTCTAGGGAGCCCTGGTCCGGGTTGATGATCCCATATGCCCACACGGGTGTGGCTCCAGCGGCCACGGCAAGGGCGAGATGAGGAGAGAGGCTGCAGGAGCCTTCGGTGCCCTGCTCTGCTCCACATGGGCCCTGGCAGCTTGACGTTGGCTGGTACCGCCTTGCCAAGCCACCGCCAATGTCATTAACTCATTACCTGTCATCCGTGCAGGCCGGCCCGTGGCAGCCCCAGCCACTGGCCGTATGGAAGAGGGCGGTGTTGGAAAGAGGACCTCGTAGTAATAACAGTGGTAGAAGGAAATCGTAGGCATCAAAATTTCTCTCAGGGACAGACCTGTCTTTATTGAGGACGACGTCTCGATAAAATACCTGGGGGAGAGGAGGGGAGCCGAGGGAACAGAAGAGACGGCCCGACTCCACATTCAGGATGGACGGGACATATACGGCGAGCACGTGTCAAAGATGTGTTTAATTCATCGATGGAGAAACCAACAGGTTGGAAAAACTTGTTCAAAGGACAGGAGAAACTAACGTGCACACGCCAGCATAGACACGGCCACTTACGTTCAGTGGGGGGGAAAGGGTGCTGGGATAAATCCAGGTTAAATAAGAACAGGGTGATAAAGCCTAAAGGCCAAGAATCGACAATCTGTGACCTGCCGATCAAATCAGACCTGCCACCTGTTTTTGTACGCCCATGAGCTAAGAGCGTTTTTTCACATTTTTCAACAGTTGGCAAAAGAAAGGACAGTATTGCGTAACGCGTAAAAACGACGTGACATTCGAATTTCAGTGTTTGTAAATAAAGTTTTGTTGGCGCACAGCCATATCCATTCGCAGACGCCTGTGGCTGCATTCACAGTACGAGGGCGGAGTCGAACCGTTGCAAAAGCAACTGGCCATCAAAGCCTCAGATATCATCCGGCCCTTCACAGAGGCAGTTTGCTGAGCGCCCGCGGTAGGAGAATGACATGCCAATAATCTCGAAATGATCTTCTCTCCTGGGCAAAAGTCGGTTGCGTCTCCACCAGACAAAAATCATGTGCAATGTAATTTTCTACAAGTTAACATGAAACTTGATAGAATCTGGGCCTTAATCAATACCAAAGTCAATGTCACATCCTCTAGACAACCAGATAAGCAGATGGTGTTCTAATTTGATTCTGAAGGGTTCTACAGCCATCTTTCTACTTTATGTTAAACTTTCAGAGAATTGTTCTTAACGTTTGGAACCAAGAGATTATTAAGTAATAGAGACTCAGTGATTCGTGGTCCAGAAGGTCACTTCCTCCTCAGGAATAAGTGGAAAAGTTCAGAACGAGTAAGTCCGTGAATTAGGCCAGCGCCTCTCCAGTTCCCACGGTGCAGGTGGACAGCCGGGGATCCCGTTCACACGCACATCCCGCTCCAGTAGTGCGAGTTTGCACTCCTCACAAGCTCCCAGGAGATGCCCGTGCTGGCGGTCCAGGGACCATAAGGTACTGCGAGCAGCGAGGAGTCGTGTATATTTCAAACTACTCACTGAGTTCTTCCTACGCGCCATGCACCACGCCTGGCACTCCAGCGTGACAGGGACGCCGCCACGTGAATTTTTTTTTAATGCCGAGCTCTCCGATTCCGATGGGAGCAGTCGTGCTCAAAGTGCAGGAACGAATGTGGCGGTAGACGGGGCCGTCAGGCCCTGGGCCAGGTGACACGGTGCAACGGCCTCCTCTTTCTCCCGCGTTCAGAGAGCTTCCGGCGTCTGGAAAA